ATAAATGCACAAACTCGGGACTGAACTTGTGCATTTATGGAGACTTTGCTGTAATTCGAAAAGGAAGAAGAGAGTTAAAGTGACATGAGAAATACTGTAGTCTACGATAAATGCACTATATCAGTCCCGAGTTTGTGCATTTATAGAGACTTTACGTATTTCTTTCTCTCTACGATACATCATACTCATCCAATTACAATAAACAATACGAACAATTTATAGAATTAAATGGAATGCTTCGAAAACGATTCGAATCGAAATATTTACACTCTTTCACGCTCGGTGTATCAATTTCATTGTTTACACTGCTTTCAACGCCAAGTTCGTAATTCTTTGGATCAACTCGCCGCGCAATAAAGTGTGCAAACTTACGTCGGGCATGTTGAATGGAGCGGAGTTGAAGTATTCGTAAGTTAATTGGGCTGGTAGATTCGTACCGTTGCTATTTATTATGTCAGAAATTGGCGCGTACGTTTTGTGCGCGAACACCTGCAAAATTTCGAAAATAATATCCCGTATAATTCTTCGGGTAATACCTTTAAAATGATCGAAACTAGAAACTAAACTTATCATTCTCAGTTTCAATATTTAAGAGCAATATTCATTAATAAATTTTGTTTAAATTCAATTTGAATCGAATTAAATTGATTGATATTTAAGAGGTAAAATAATTGTTCGAATTTCAAGTGAGATTTAATTTCACGATTTCTTTATTCTATAGAAAAGAGAAGAATTATTTATTCTTGATATTTTCGATTCTTACGACGTGCAGTAACTGCAATTCCGGAATGCATTCGACGGATGCGATCGAAACACATATGGTCACGATGGTGGAGACGAACACATTCATTTTTAGATACACGTATCGAAACCTTCCTCAAACTCTATTTTATGATTACTCCAACTCTATTCGATGATTGCGATCCACTGAAAACAATTCCATCTGAATTCCATCACTCTTCAGATTTCGCCTGTGGCAATTTTATATTCATTTATCTCACATACATAAATTTGGAAAACACAAAGCTCGAAACTTCCCTTTCCACGAACCTCGCACTTCTCGCCTTTAACAATTAACCATCCTTAGTAATCCAGGGTAAGCTATCCTGGTTAAATATTTATCAAACTATTCGAACGCTTTACATTCGATCGAGAATATTCGTAGACGAATCGATACTTGTTTTCTTTTTTTAATTATATTTTTCACAGTACCTTTCAACGTTCCCCGTGAATGCCAGGAACGCGACACGACAATGAACGCGACACCTGCTCCGACTTCCCAGGTGACTGCATAACATGGTCCCAGCTTCTTCGTTTGATGATCAGGCAATCAGATAAAGTGTTTCTGATGTGTCTCCGCGCGGTCGTGCATCAGTGGTGCTTAATTTAATCGGTAACCTTCGCGTGAAATCGTCGTGCCTCTATCGAAAACCGCGATCTCCCAGGCTTTGAATAATCAGTTCGCTTCCACAGGACTCCGCGATCGGGAGATTGCGAATCTTATAAAATGTTGTCGATGTAAATTTCCGTGGAGATTGTTTAAACTGAGGAGACATTGGAAAGCCATTTCTGGAGGTTGAGGAGACAGCGTGATCATAATAAGTGAATGAGTTTTATTTATAAAGGTGCGAAAATGAAGAACTTGATTATAATATTTAATTTAAGAGTGTTGTTATGGTTCGTTGTTTATATTCATTTAATTACTTTTCGAAATAATTCTTTCATTAGGGACTAGTTTGTTGGAGCCCACTGGCAACCCCAAAATAATATTTTATTGGAATACAAATATTTGCTCTTGACAACTATTTTTGTTTTTATTAGTTTCAATTCTTAATTATACGAACGTTCTTTGTTAATAAAATTTATAACTTTCACATTCTTTATAGTAGTGTCTAAAAATCATAGTAATTTCAAAGCAACGTGTTCAAATCTGACTACTCTGAAGGCTTGTTCAGTCGTGATGAACATATTTATTTAAGTTTTTGTTTTCAAACAACGAGCGTGTCGAACCATATATCTAACATTGCAAAAGGGATTATGTAAAAGGGCATTTAGATTTTGTTTTATCTGGTCGTGAGTGAGTGAGTTTTATTTATAAGGGTGCGGAGTTGAATAAGTTGATTATAGAATCTTATACAGGGTATGCCAAAAATGTTGGAGGTCATTGAAGAAGGTGGTTCGGGGGGTGATTTGAAACAACTTTTTCCTTAGCGAAATTGTTGTCCGAGGCTTCGTTAAGGAGATATTAACGAAAAACCCCGGACCAATCAGAGCGCGAGTGTGCCGGCAGAGGACGGCCGCCTAGCGCGTAGCCTACGCCTACCGCGGGCGTTCCACTGGCATCCTCGCGCTCTGATTGGTCCGGCATTTTCTCCTAATATCTCCTAAACAAAGCCTCGGACAACATTTTCACAAAGGAAAAAGTTGTTTCAAATCACCTCCCGAACCTCCCCATTCAAAAACCTCTAACATTTTTAAGACACCCTGTAGAATGGTAGATAATTAAATAATTGGTACCTATGTTATCGATTAAATGTTGAACAATCGGAAGTAATCGAACCACCCGTTTATAGGGCCGCCAACATTTTTGGGACGCCCTGTATATTATGTACATGTATATATTTATAAAAAAAATTATTCCAGTATATCAAACCTATTATTTAATTTAAACACATGTCTTCCTATCAATATTTATGGGATTGACTGTATACAGGGTGTCCCAAAAATTGTAACACCTTAGAAGGGGTGATTCGGGAGGTGATTTGAAACAACTTTTTCCTTAGCGAAAATGTTGTGCGAAGCTTCGTTAAGAAGATATTAACAGAAAACGCCGGGCCAATCAGAGCGCGAGTGTGCCGGCGGAGGGCGGTCGCCTAGCGCGTGGCCACGTCTACCGCGAGCGCTCCACTGGCATCCTCGCGCTCTGATTGGTCCTGCGTTTTCTGCTGATATCTTCTTAACGAAGCTTCAGACAACATTTTCGCTAAGGAAAAAGTAGTTTCAAATCACCTCCACTCTGCATATGCAAGGTGTCCCAAAAATGTTGTTCATCTTGAAAGGCGTGGTTTGGGAGGTGATTTGAAACAACTTTTTCCTTAGCGAAAATATTGTCCGAGGCTTCGTTGAGGAGATATTAACGGAAAACACTGACCAATCAGAGCGCTCCACTGGCATCCTCGCGCTCTGATTGGTCCGGCATTTTCTCCTAATATCTCCTAAACAAAGCCTCGGACAACATTTTTGCAAAGGAAAAAGTTGTTTCAAATCACCTTTCCCGAACCTCCCCATTCAAAGACCTCTAACATTTTTAAGACACCCTGTAGAATGGTAGATAATTAAATAATTGGTACCTATGTTATCGATTAAATGTTGAACAATCGGAAGTAATCGAACCACCCGTTTCTAGGGCCGCCAACATTTTTGGGACACCCTATATATTGTATACATTTATAACAAAAATTATTCGAGTACATGAAACCTATTATTCAATTTAGACACATGTCTTCCTATCAGTATTTATGGAATTCGAATGGGGAATCGAAATATGACAAATTCTGTTCAAAGTAGAGACTTCAAACTTTGAAATAAAAAAAAATTTATCTTCTACGGTTATTCTTCGCGGAAATTTTAATAAAAATTTTTGTTGCGCAAATTTTGTTGCTCAGTGTATATACATACATACATACATACATACATACATACATACATACACACATACAATTATATATACAATTTCTATTCTTCTTATTATTCTTATTCTTTTTATTCTTAAAGAAAATCTGAACAGATTAAATGACATCCACTTGCCGCGTGTAAGAAATTTATGAAACTCTAACAATCGACGTGAGTCATTCCAGACTCTTATCGATTACGTTTGTACAATCACGCGTTCGAGAGATGCGCGAGATCTTTTCTGTAATTTTCTCTGGTAATGATAAGATCATATAACAGTTGTTCTTATCTTCGTGTTAAAAACTCGAATTACAGTTCCTCTGCTTCTATTCGCAGATTTACTGGCAATAAAATTTGTTTAATGCACGTTGAACATATTCAGCACTCTCTGTATAACTTTATTGCAAAAAGAAAAAAGGAGATAAGAGTCGCATTCTCCGCGAGAGGCTTTCATCGATAAAAATTTAATTTCACGCATCTCAAGTATCTGTGGGATATCGATATCATTTATCTGACATATTGCTCTTTAGAAATAATAATATTTATTTAAATAAAAGTGATAATTTTATATATGTATAGTTTTTTTTTTATAATATTTATTTAAATACAATATATACTGTAAGATATAAAAATATAAAATTATAAAATATATATATTATGTAATATTTATTTAAAATATATTTATTTATTAAATATATAATATTTATTCAAATAAAAGTCGTAATTTTACATATATATATATATATATATATATATATATTGCGTCTTTCACTATGCAAATTTTTGGAACGTGGACATGCATAAATATGACTCAATTCGTTCGAATCACAAGACATTTATCATTTTCATAAAAGAACTTTCCTATTGTAATTATCTTGACACCGAACAACACTAGCTAACATTGAAAAATGATTGTAAGGAAAATTTAGATAAGGTATTTTCTACTTTTCGAATTCAACGAACGCTAATATCCTAAGCAAGTTGCAAGTATTAACATAATAACTGATCAAGAACATAATAAAATTAATAAAATAAATTGAATGGTTTCTATCAGTAGTATATTCATGTCGTTCATTCGATTGACCAGGTCAATTTTTTGTCCTTCATCACATAAATAATATAATTAAATATAGACTGCATAGTAAAATTTTTCATTTTTTATATGTACAGGGTGTCTTAAAAATGTCGTAGGTCATAGAAGAGGGTGGTTCGATCGCTTCCGAATGTTTAACATTTAATCGATAACATAGGTGTCAATTTTTATAATTACTATTTCTACAGGGTGTCCCAAAAAAAGTTGGAGATCTTTGAAAGAGGTGATTCGGAGGGTGATTTGAAACAACATTTTCCTTAGCAAAAATGTTGTCCGAGGCTTCGTTATGGAGATATTGGGAGAAAACGCCGGACCAATCAGAGCGCGAGTGTCCCGGTGGAACGCCCGCGGTAGGCGTGCCCACGCGCTAGGCGGCCGCCCTCTGCCGGCACACTCGCGCTCTGATTGGTGGCGGCGTTTTCTGTTAATATCTCCTCAACGAAGCCTCGGACAACATTTTCGCTAAGGAAAAAGTTGTTTCAAATCACCTCCCGAACCACCCTATTCAAGAACCTCCAACATTTTTTGGATACCTTGTATATATGTATATTCAATGAAAAATTTATATATATTATACAATTAAGTATTTTACTTCATATTTCTTCTTCCACGAGTAACTAATAAAATGTTGTTTATCCTTTATTTTCTATGAAGAAGGAATGAGTTAGTCACAGCGAAATATATGACTTAGATCCATTGATCTAGAATAAACAGAACGAATATTCATTAGACGATTAATATTTATTGTTCAAAAGTATGCATGTGTTATAATTGAAAGTTATTCCTATAAGGAAATACAAAGAGTTATAAATAGCTGATTTTTTATTAAACAAACTGAACTTGAATATTAAGTTAGCAATAATTCATAGGCGGTTAAACATTTTCATGTCACGAAAAATTATACCAAAATGAAAGAGGTGTTTTCTCAGGAAAATAGGTATCGATGTCAAGGGTAGCGTCATTTTCCTGAGTCACTCTAAACGACATAAATTACAATATTTTTAAGCGACAATACGTGCAGCGAAAGATAATTATCTCGCCGATCATTTCCCCTATCAACAACCTGTTTTCCGCGTGCCAGTTTCATATAGTATACCAGCCAAATGCACACTGACGTCGCTGGCTTGAATCGAGCACTTTATCGTCAACGAATTCTATGCTC